GATAATATATATATAAAGAGAATATATGATTTTACAACTCTAATTATGCATTTTTTTTTCTATAATAATTAATTTTATCATTCTAATATTTAATGTATGACTTAGATACACACTAGTATATAAAGATTTTTGTTTAAGAACTTAAAAAATAAACTAGTAGAGTTTATAGGTGTTTTAAAATAATGAGATCAAATATTTTAAAGTTAAAATAATTTAATAATATAAATAAAATTTCTTAAACTCGTCTCATTTACTTAAAATACAAATCATCTCTGTAAAACTCTTTCTCTTAGTTTCCTCTCATTTCTCTCTAAGATATCTAACTCTTTGATTATTTGTTTGACAATCAAGAAGTTCCTAAGAGATCACAACTGAGTAATCTCCATTATCTACCGGTCAAACTTTTGTTTAGGGAAAGTAAGTTTTTATCTCTTTCTCCTTTAATCATCCGTTTATGATCATGCTTAATCCATTTCGCATGTATCATCTATGTGTTCCTCTCTTGATTCTTTGTCAATCTATGGTCCAAAGGACGCTTTTCTATCTTAATTTGATGATTCATAGGTGTTTATAGAGTTCCTTATGCGGGAAGCAAAGGGTGTGCGTTCTTAGAGCTCTATAGCTTCGACGTAAGGTAAGGGAAGCTAGATGTCCAACTTTAAATTATGTTTATGGTGTAAGTTTGGTGCTTGTATGTATGTCAAACTGTTTTAGTTATAATTTCAAGAATTATGCTAGTGTTAGTTCATTTAAAAATGCATGTAGTTGGTTATTTGATGATTGAATTTTGACGTGATGTAATTTGGATGATATTGTTGTCATGAATTGTATGTTATGATGTTGTTTTGATGTCTAAAATTGGTAGCAAGGTTTAAGGAATGTTGAGTTGTCAAAGACATGGGTTTTTTGGGTTAAAAATGAGGTTTTGATACTTGTTAGCACCTTGAATTTGTAAAAATATGATAAGGAAATAGATATGAGTCAATGTGGTAGTTTTAGAAAGTTTTAAGTTCAAATTAGGGGTTTTGACATGTGAGTTTTTATATAAGGGTTAGAAGGGGAAACCGAGAGTTTAAGGATGTTTATTAGGTCATTTAGAACTTGTCTAGATGTTGAATTAAGTGAAATTTGATGGGGAAGTGGTAATTGCTTAATAGATTGAGTTTCCTAGCACATTTTAGTACATTGTGGCGATTTTAACTAGTCAAAATTGAAAGTAGAGAGGTTGTGAAGAAATTGAAGTCTTGGGGTGTGTTTTTAGGTCTATTATGACTTGTTCATGTTGTTAGTTTACAAAATTTGGTCTTAGAAGGCGTAGGTTTGAGATTGGGTAACTTAGAGTAGTTGAATTGGTTTGGAGTGGTCAATTTGAATTAGAGGTCTATTTTCAGATGTTTCATAATGTCTAGAAGGTCGTAGGAATTAATTAAAGATGTGGGAGAAGTGTTTAAAGTCATCCTAAAAGGAGTAGCAAATACTGGTATGGCACTAAGCGACTGTGTTAAGGCACCCCAGTTTCTAGTGGCCTTGGAGCTCAGTGCAAGTCTCGGGGGGCTGAGTGCCAAAAAACAACAACTAGGGCACTGAGCGCCAGCTCCTGGGTGCTTGAGCGCCATCCTTTGAGTTTTGAAAAGGTGTTTTATATTGTTTATGATTACTTGATGGGTGGTTTCCATTTCTTTGGTGTATGTTCAATGTTTTCATGTGTTTGTATGCAAGGTTTATATGAGGCTTTATATGTGAATGAAAGGTGGTGGAAAAGAGTTCCAATGAGAAAATTCTTATTGATGGTTTCAAGCATTATTAGTATGAATACAGGTAGCTCAGTCTTGGGGGGGTTATCTTGAAACTCTAATGTTCATTCATTCTCATTTAGAGAAGATTGATACATGTGGTGAGAGTAGTAGGAGGTCTTAGTCTAGGTGCTTCCAATATGGCCTAAGATGCGATATAGACTAACCTTGTGAGTTTGGTAGGGTGAAACTCATTGGAAATTACTTTGCAAAGTAATTGAGGCAACCACAAGTGCACAACTCGTCATAGCTCGATATTCATACTAAATCTAGATAGTTTAGTCTAAGTCTTTGCCTCTTAAGATTTTTGGTTTGTGTTATGTGAAGTATGATTGATGTGTGAATTGCTAAATTATATTATGGAATGTTTTATTTTACTAGCTTTTCCTTTTTCTTTGTATTTGGTTGGTATTCTCTCGTGCTTGATGTCTTGGCTATGATTATTCAGTGGGTGTGAGCAGACGGTGATGAGATGTCCATGGAACAGGCTCTGAATGGAAGGACAATAGATGCTTTGTATAACTATAATGGAACTTTATTTCTCGGCCATGTTATAGTTGTTCTATTATATTAAATGTGTGATAATTCTTTTATAGTTTAAGACTATATAATTGTGATGTTACATTTTGCATCCATTATTTTAGAGATTATGTTTTGGTTCTTTATCGAAACATATTCTCATGAGGTAAAAATATATATAATTTTAGGCATCAGTATTTTTTACTTTATGTTTCGGTTCTTTTTGAACCGAAGTCTATTCCTATATATTTTTCAAAAATAAAAATTTAATTTCTTCTTATTCTTACATATTTTTCACTAAAGAATTACCATGCTCTTCATCAACAAATAGAATCGCCTCTATCTTTTCCACCTCCACATTGAACAAAAGAGATTAAAAAATTATATGCATTACAAAAAAAGAATTATGAAAAAAAAAATGCAAGAGTGACATTTTATAAATTATTTGAAAAACTACATGTCTCTATTATTTAAAGAATTGAAACATATATACTAGCCTTTAGTTTGTATAGAAGTAAAACTTATATTTATGTAACAATTTTTAAAAGTCCTATTGTATTTTTAAAGTCTTCATTTTGTTTAGAGTATTTTAATATATTATATAATCTATAAATTTATTATTTTTACTTCATAGATATATATTAATTGTTAATACATCTTTTTTCGTACATGAATAATTTCTGTGATACGTATATGGTTGAAAATAATCCTTATAAGTAGTATTAGTTAATAGAAAATAAATATAAACAAAATACTTTCACCAAAATTTATTTATTCAACGGCATTTTTTAAAGTGCAATTACATAATGTATTTTCATTATTATAATTAAGTTAGGAATTTGTAATTGAGTCTGAATGGAAATGCTTTTAATAATGATTGGAATATGAAGCTCGGTTCAAGAAGCATGGAAAATATGCACCGACTTTATTGTTTGTGAGCAAATCAAACACGCAAAGAAACATAAGCCAAGTTGTGTGGTGGGCCCACCCAATTGCTAGGGGAATTTCTGCAATTCTTCACATCAGGTGCCCCCTCGAATGAACCCCCAAAATAGGCAACCAAAAAATGATCCTTATCAACCTACAGAGGTCATACAACGTGTCATTGGGTTCATTTCACCAAAAAGAAAAAAGAAAAAAAGATCGATAAATCTTTTTTGGTGGGCAAAGATTTTTGCATCGATGACCTCGACAATGGTAGAAGCATGACAACTCTTGAAGGGAGCGGATCCAGCTTGGTAAGTGAACTCCTCCTTTACTGGTCCTTGTATTGAACAATCTTTCGCCATGCCTAAAGGTTGAACTTGCGAGGTTGCTGTGTTCTTTACTTTCGCACTGCTCGAAACACTCGTCTGCAAAATGTATCCTCTAGTTTTAGTGAAGGAAAATCAAATTGTGAACAGAGACTTAAGAAGTGAAAACGGCGTAGTACAGCGATGGGTTGAACTGCATTTCGTGTGGCTGAACAGCTTTCCGAAAGAGAAAAAAGAAATTGAGGTCTAATGTAAAATAAAGATTCAAAAAATTGATTACCAAGAATTCCTACCTGCTCAAACAAAAGCGGTTTTTCATGTGTAATTAACAAGAAGATGATATGATTTTCCAAGAATGAAAAATTAAAGGTGGGTTTTATTTTACAGTGTCATAATACATGTAATTCAGAATGTTGCTGATAAATGAAAGCGGAAAAAACAACAGACAGAAAGACAACAGACAGTGAAGTTGGGGGACATGAAAAAGACAAGGAAAGAAATCGAGTTAATCATTAATTGTATTGGATATGAAAAACGAAAAAGGAAAAGGTAAAAAAATTAAAAGTTAATTCAGGAAAAATAAGTATTTAAAAAAAACACTTTATTTTAGTATTAGTTGTTATTTAATATTTTTATTTTTATTAAATATATCATAATCCGATATCGATATGTATATAAAATGTGTTTGGTACAGATTAGCTACTAATTTATAAGTTAGTATGATTGATAAAAAGGATTTTGATAAATTAATTTAAAGTAGTTTTTTTTTTGGAATTTATAGTTTATAAGTTACCAGTTATTTCAAAGTAATTTTTACTTCTTTCAATTTTTTTCAATTTATATATATATATATATATATATATATATATATAAAAGATATATGATTTACAACTCTAATTATGCATTTTTTTTTCTATAATAATTAATTTTATCATTCTAATATTTAATGTATGACTTAGATACACACTAGTATATAAAGATTTTTGTTTAAGAACTTAAAAAATAAACTAGTAGAGTTTATAGGTGTTTTAAAATAATGAGATCAAATATTTTAAAGTTAAAATAATTTAATAATATAAATAAAATTTCTTAAACTCGTCTCATTTACTTAAAATACAAATCATCTCTGTAAAACTCTTTCTCTTAGTTTCCTCTCATTTCTCTCTAAGATATCTAACTCTTTGATTATTTGTTTGACAATCAAGAAGTTCCTAAGAGATCACAACTGAGTAATCTCCATTATCTACCGGTCAAACTTTTGTTTAGGGAAAGTAAGTTTTTATCTCTTTCTCCTTTAATCATCCGTTTATGATCATGCTTAATCCATTTCGCATGTATCATCTATGTGTTCCTCTCTTGATTCTTTGTCAATCTATGGTCCAAAGGACGCTTTTCTATCTTAATTTGATGATTCATAGGTGTTTATAGAGTTCCTTATGCGGGAAGCAAAGGGTGTGCGTTCTTAGAGCTCTATAGCTTCGACGTAAGGTAAGGGAAGCTAGATGTCCAACTTTAAATTATGTTTATGGTGTAAGTTTGGTGCTTGTATGTATGTCAAACTGTTTTAGTTATAATTTCAAGAATTATGCTAGTGTTAGTTCATTTAAAAATGCATGTAGTTGGTTATTTGATGATTGAATTTTGACGTGATGTAATTTGGATGATATTGTTGTCATGAATTGTATGTTATGATGTTGTTTTGATGTCTAAAATTGGTAGCAAGGTTTAAGGAATGTTGAGTTGTCAAAGACATGGGTTTTTTGGGTTAAAAATGAGGTTTTGATACTTGTTAGCACCTTGAATTTGTAAAAATATGATAAGGAAATAGATATGAGTCAATGTGGTAGTTTTAGAAAGTTTTAAGTTCAAATTAGGGGTTTTGACATGTGAGTTTTTATATAAGGGTTAGAAGGGGAAACCGAGAGTTTAAGGATGTTTATTAGGTCATTTAGAACTTGTCTAGATGTTGAATTAAGTGAAATTTGATGGGGAAGTGGTAATTGCTTAATAGATTGAGTTTCCTAGCACATTTTAGTACATTGTGGCGATTTTAACTAGTCAAAATTGAAAGTAGAGAGGTTGTGAAGAAATTGAAGTCTTGGGGTGTGTTTTTAGGTCTATTATGACTTGTTCATGTTGTTAGTTTACAAAATTTGGTCTTAGAAGGCGTAGGTTTGAGATTGGGTAACTTAGAGTAGTTGAATTGGTTTGGAGTGGTCAATTTGAATTAGAGGTCTATTTTCAGATGTTTCATAATGTCTAGAAGGTCGTAGGAATTAATTAAAGATGTGGGAGAAGTGTTTAAAGTCATCCTAAAAGGAGTAGCAAATACTGGTATGGCACTAAGCGACTGTGTTAAGGCACCCCAGTTTCTAGTGGCCTTGGAGCTCAGTGCAAGTCTCGGGGGGCTGAGTGCCAAAAAACAACAACTAGGGCACTGAGCGCCAGCTCCTGGGTGCTTGAGCGCCATCCTTTGAGTTTTGAAAAGGTGTTTTATATTGTTTATGATTACTTGATGGGTGGTTTCCATTTCTTTGGTGTATGTTCAATGTTTTCATGTGTTTGTATGCAAGGTTTATATGAGGCTTTATATGTGAATGAAAGGTGGTGGAAAAGAGTTCCAATGAGAAAATTCTTATTGATGGTTTCAAGCATTATTAGTATGAATACAGGTAGCTCAGTCTTGGGGGGGTTATCTTGAAACTCTAATGTTCATTCATTCTCATTTAGAGAAGATTGATACATGTGGTGAGAGTAGTAGGAGGTCTTAGTCTAGGTGCTTCCAATATGGCCTAAGATGCGATATAGACTAACCTTGTGAGTTTGGTAGGGTGAAACTCATTGGAAATTACTTTGCAAAGTAATTGAGGCAACCACAAGTGCACAACTCGTCATAGCTCGATATTCATACTAAATCTAGATAGTTTAGTCTAAGTCTTTGCCTCTTAAGATTTTTGGTTTGTGTTATGTGAAGTATGATTGATGTGTGAATTGCTAAATTATATTATGGAATGTTTTATTTTACTAGCTTTTCCTTTTTCTTTGTATTTGGTTGGTATTCTCTCGTGCTTGATGTCTTGGCTATGATTATTCAGTGGGTGTGAGCAGACGGTGATGAGATGTCCATGGAACAGGCTCTGAATGGAAGGACAATAGATGCTTTGTATAACTATAATGGAACTTTATTTCTCGGCCATGTTATAGTTGTTCTATTATATTAAATGTGTGATAATTCTTTTATAGTTTAAGACTATATAATTGTGATGTTACATTTTGCATCCATTATTTTAGAGATTATGTTTTGGTTCTTTATCGAAACATATTCTCATGAGGTAAAAATATATATAATTTTAGGCATCAGTATTTTTTACTTTATGTTTCGGTTCTTTTTGAACCGAAGTCTATTCCTATATATTTTTCAAAAATAAAAATTTAATTTCTTCTTATTCTTACATATTTTTCACTAAAGAATTACCATGCTCTTCATCAACAAATAGAATCGCCTCTATCTTTTCCACCTCCACATTGAACAAAAGAGATTAAAAAATTATATGCATTACAAAAAAAGAATTATGAAAAAAAAAATGCAAGAGTGACATTTTATAAATTATTTGAAAAATTACATGTCTCTATTATTTAAAGAATTGAAACATATATACTAGCCTTTAGTTTGTATAGAAGTAAAACTTATATTTATGTAACAATTTTTAAAAGTCCTATTGTATTTTTAAAGTCTTCATTTTGTTTAGAGTATTTTAATATATTATATAATCTATAAATTTATTATTTTTACTTCATAGATATATATTAATTGTTAATACATCTTTTTTCGTACATGAATAATTTCTGTGATACGTATATGGTTGAAAATAATCCTTATAAGTAGTATTAGTTAATAGAAAATAAATATAAACAAAATACTTTCACCAAAATTTATTTATTCAACGGCATTTTTTAAAGTGCAATTACATAATGTATTTTCATTATTATAATTAAGTTAGGAATTTGTAATTGAGTCTGAATGGAAATGCTTTTAATAATGATTGGAATATGAAGCTCGGTTCAAGAAGCATGGAAAATATGCACCGACTTTATTGTTTGTGAGCAAATCAAACACGCAAAGAAACATAAGCCAAGTTGTGTGGTGGGCCCACCCAATTGCTAGGGGAATTTCTGCATCTTCAATTTCAGTTTTAAAATATAATTAAATATAGATATATAGATATCATATATTATTTAAATAAGGTATAGTTTAATATTAATTTTTATTTTGAAAATAATTATTTTTTGGAAACATTTTGTCCGCTATGTATTCATGGAATGTTAAGATACTATATTATTTTTATTTGACTTTGTCTTTTAATAATAAATAAATTTAATATAATATACTTAGATAAAGATTCAAAATGATGACACTAAAATATTGTATATAATTATACAAGTAAATAATAATTTCATGTGCAAAAAGAAAAAAAAAGTAACAGTTGCGCATAATTTAAAAAAAGGGTTAAATATGTTTTTAGTCCTTAAACTATCAAGCGAATTTGTTTTTATTCCTTCTTTTAAAGTAAGGTACATTTTAGTCCTTCTATTTTTGAAAAAAACGTTAATTTTTTATCCTCTCGGGAGGACCAAAAGTTAAGGTTTTTTTTAAGGAGGAGAACTAAAATGTACCTTACTTTGAAGGAGGGACTAAAAACAAATTCGTTTGATAGTTTAGGGACTAAAAACATATTTAACCCTTAAAAGAAAAGGTAATAGATAGTTTACGATGATATTTTTTTGTTTTGCACAAACCTTCTCCCATTTTATGAAATCAGAAACTGGTTTCCTTCTCTCCCATTTTCGTTTTGCACAAACCTTCTCCCCCAACCTATCCCACTGTCTAGTTCTTGGCGCGATGGTGGCTGGTGACTGGTGGCGGTGCACGACGCTGGTGACTATGTGTGTTGTTGGGTGATGTGGTCGTTGTGTCACAGTAGCTGTTGGCGGTGGATGGTTCATGGTTGTCCATAAGCCCTAAACTAGTAGTGGAGGTTTGTCGGAGGTAAGTATGTGTTGAAGGATTACCTTCTTGTTTTGGTTAAAATTGGTTTAATGGATTGCCTTAGTGATGCTTACTGTCAATTATGCTTGCTACCAATTTGGATTTGGTTTAATGGATTGCCTTATAATGATGCTTGTTGCCAATTTGAAATTAGTTCTATTTAGTTTTGTTATTACGATGATGCTTGCTGCCAAATTGAAATTGGTTTAATGGATTGCCATAACTTGCATGTGTTTTAGTAGTTGTTGTTATAGGTTTGGTTTTCATAGCTTTTTGCATTTTGATGCACATTATATGATGACATGGTTCGTTCTAGGATTATCATTCCATGCATTGCTTCACTTTTCTCATGAATTCAGATTTATCTTGCACTTGTTATCA